GATTCCTCGCTGCACAGGCAGTGAAAATGGCCGCGCTATGGAGGATCTTCACTGGACAATGAGTTTAAAATTGGGTTTTAATGCATTTCTATGGGTTTTTAAATATCGCATTATGACGTTTTCGTTCGACAGCGATTTTGCTGGAATGAATTAACGTCGTCATGCGAGGCACCACTGTATAGATTATTAATCTGGATCTTCAGTGTGTCAACTTGGCCTGAGAACTTCAGTCATTCAAAAATACATTGTTGAGATGGTGCATCTCACAGAATATGTTAGTCTCATCCTAAGTCATAATGTGTAGATGTTCTGTTCAAGTTTAGTCATTCATTGCCAGTGTGGGAAATTATCATGCTGACTGAGCATTATGGGAGTTGTAGTCCAACACATCTGTAGGACCCCAGATTTGCAGGAGGTTGTATTATACCTCTTTGAATAGTGTTGGATATGTGGCATCATGAGTGGCCGTAGATTAAAATTGCCAACAAACCATGACGTCCTGCACCAGTCAGCCTCTCTAAGTCTAACCAACCTGACAGGTTTTTGAGAAGACAAAATGCATTCCATCCTGGGCTTCTTAAAGCAAGGGCGGTGACTGGAATGTGAACAAGAAGAACCATGATTATGTGTAGTGAAGGGAAGCATAAATCAGGAGTGAAAATGACTAACGGTTTCATGTGCCGTAAGGAGGATACTATAAATGTATTCTTGTGATGACAGAATTACTAGTAATACTTGGAACATTTGTACAAAACTCTGTATTATTTGTACTGTTGTTTTTTTCCACCTGTGGAATGTCAAAAAAGAAAATCAACAGATAAACAGTTAAAGATTTTGGGAGAACTGAAAGAGGAAATTAAAGAAAAACATGAGCAGGCAGTTACTAATCAGTGGGTTTTTAAAACCTGTTTTATACTTTTACATAATGATTTAAAATATTTTTATGTCATAGTATATTTTTAAATATTTCTGAATTTTTAAGTCTTGATATGATAATTAGTTTGTTTTTAATTATTATGCCATGTTACAAAAAATCCAGACCATAATTCTAAACCTGTGAAAACCCTTGTTGAAGTAAATTGCTGAAATGGCAGAAATGTGATATGAGCAGCTGGAAGGCCCTCCTACATATAAAAAGTGTGAATTAAGATTAAGCAACATGTCATTTAAAAATGGGTTCAGGGGTTTACAGGTACTTTTTCAAACTTAATTCTCCATTGCTCCTCCCACTTTTCCTTTTCTGGTTACTGTACTTGTCAAAATAAGTTAGGTCATCTTACCTTTTCTTCAGTTACTCCAGATATAGTCTTCTCAGAAAACAAGTAATATAGATCACTTGCTTAGAAGACTTAATATATTAAGAGCAGTCAGCTGTCAAAAGGATTAGTTTTTATGACAGTCTTTTTGGAAGAAGAAAATATGTAACTCAATAAAAAGGATGTCACGCATGTTTATATATTGGTAATATTCCAGTATAGTGAGCTAGTAATTTCTACTACTCACAACATACTCCAATGACAACAGGCAAGCAGCCCACTACAGTATATTTAAAAACTGTGATAAGAATGTAGCAGAAGGGACTTCATTTCTGAAGGTTCATGTGCAGGTTAACAGGTGCACATCTAATGCAAGTGCACCTAACCTGCAAATTAATAATTGGTTCAGAGAATTCAAGACCACCTCCAAGAAAAATGTTACCGTCCATTGTGTGTAGAACATATGGAGATGAGAATGACACACAAACATATGAAGAAAACCTCGATCTCTGTTTGAAGTAGGATAAAGGGATACGCACGTGGGGCATTCCTGCAAGCATTTGCCTCTGTATAGATAGAGTGGCATGTCTGAATCAGGCAGACACCTCAGGCAATGGTTGGCTGATGTGCATTCTTCACAGTCATCTGCACAGTTCTCACACTGCCTTGTCCTCACATTGCCAAACGTTGCGCGTGGGCAAACATGGACACAAGACTCAGCAAAAAGAAATCTCTCTGAAAATAACAAAATAGACAAGATGTATTGGAAGGGTAATCAACAGAACGCTACGCACCAACCACCTATTTCCTGATAAAACAAACTTTCTCTAGTCAAGCTACTAAGCTAACTTTACGGCAGAAAGTTAATGAGAGGTCTTTTGTTACATAAATGTGGATAAGCCATCCTTCTTATTTTCCATAGCAGTTTGCCATGAACAAACATTTTAAATTCCACATGGAGATTATGGTTCTTGCAAAACATTCTTAAACATGTTGCTTCTAGTTATCCTCCTTCACCACTATCATGAACACCATGGGTGACTAGGATTCAACATTCAAAGCAGGATCCTCCATCCAAATTGCAGAACACTGGCATTATTCCCTTCCCATCTACCTCTTGATATTACTATAAACAGGCCATTGGATTACCAGGTTTACAAATTGTAGGGTAGTGTCTACTTTTCAGGACTATCTAAAGAGGTATGAAGATCTTAGTGTTGAACAAGGTGGGGTCTCATAGCAGCATAATGGAACGGTTAGAGTTTTCAGTTGAGACTTGGGAGATAAAGGTTCAAGTCCCCATTCAAACATGAAGCTCACTAGCCCAAATCTTGTTCCTTAGTGTACGCCAAATCATAACTTTTGGCCTATTTCTTCCCAGGAAACAATGCTTCCTTACCATGATTTTCAAGGCACATGCACACACCCCTCTAAGATATGTGGCTGGGACAGTTTGTTTACCAGGGAGGAAGAGACCAAAAGTTACAATTTGGCTTACTCTAAACAACATATTTTGGCCATTGAATGGCTGTGATGTAACGTAAAGTATCATAAAGTATAATATGCCCAGAATCCTGTTGATTAGTTATGTTGGCATATATGCAGTGGTGTAAATTGTAGTGGCAAATTGCTATTACTTCACAAAGCATTGTGATACAATATGCAATCATATGCCTTATAAAGCTTCCATTTGTACAGCCTATCCCTAAATTATAACCATTTTTCAGCGCACTAGCTGAAATATATGTTAACCAGGACTTTCTTAGGAAACACACAGTATTTAAAATCTTCCTGATAATGCCCATGTGTAACCTAGAAGAAGCTAAAGATGTGAATACCTTTGGGACATGAAGTACATGCATCAGCAGCTTTTTCACAGGTTTTGCATGGAGGATCACATGACTGAAGTTCATTAGTTGTTGCTATAAAAAGAAAGGAAAGAAATAGTGCATAAGCTACTTTGCATGTCTGTTTGCAATGCATCCCAGAATGCATCATTTCAGATACGATTATTTAGCACCAATCAATATCTCATAGGCTATAGAGCTAGGTGTCCCAGAGGCCATAGAACTGAACTATACTTCCTTTCAGGGCAGAAGGGAAGGGGGGTCTTCCTCCCTCCCACACTTGCCTATGAACTAGAAATATGCATCATCCATGGAGCTGCCAATTTAATACACCCCCCACACCCCAATTTGGTTTCAATCTCACGTACAGTATTTGGTTTAATGTATTTATTTAGTTTATTTATTTAAAACATTTTTAAAGGGGAGGTGAAAACAAAATAAATCAAAACAAAACATAATCATAGCCAGAGAGGGAGGAAAATCATGGTGCCTCTCTCATATTCTCCCCTCTGAGTTTGGCTTGAGTTTGGCTGGGTGCTCAGTGTCTCGGAGGCCCTGATACAAGAACACTTGGAGATCAGAGACAGGCTTGCCATGACTCTTAATAAAGGAAGAGAAGTGTAAATCATGCTGACATAAGATGCTCACCCTGATTGGATGATTTTGCAGATTATAGTGCAGAATATAATCAGATCAAGAAGGCAATGTGTTTGTTTTTCAATCAGTTAGCATACAAACGAACATCAATCCGGTATGCAAACTAACATTAATCCGACATTCTCTTAGTAATTCACTTTAATTGCTTTCTACAATTGGCATAAGTATTAAAAACCTATGTGCCAGAATATGGGCAATGGAAGCATTTATGTTATAAAAGCTACTGATGACATAGCTTTGTATTGAGAGGATTTTTGAGTACCATTATGACTTTAGGGGCATGGTTATGTGCATTGGCAAAAATCTTGGCCCAATTAAGCATTTTCTTAGCCAGTTTCTGAGCTTGCTGAAGACAGCTGATTATTCAGGTCTCTTCAAAAAAGCCTGCACGGTAACATAGGGGCCTGCTAGCTATGCCAGTATGGTGACCACTACACACACCACATTCCCACCGTTATACCTGAACACCCATCATTAGCAAGCCTAGTGGGCTGGGGTATGGAGCAACAATGGATCTCGCCCCCTTTTCTTTAGAAACAAAAAAGTTAGTTTTCAGTATATGTTTAATGGTTTGGAAAAGCCTGAAATGTGCTCACTTTCCAGCTATAAGCACGGTTCAGCACTGTAGTAGCTCATAGTCTCCAGCAGAGGGGAATATGTACTAGGAGTTGAGGCACTGCAAAACATATGGCATCCTAAATGTCTACCAGTCAACTATTCAACTGTCTCCTACTCAGATGTAAATGCTTATTTTCAGAGATACTTTTAACATTGCCCATGTCTTCAGCTACACAGAACTATAATGGAGAAGAAACAGCAGAGACATTTCTGAACATGGAAAAAAATTGAAAATGTTCAGGGGTTCTTTTTGCTGAATGTGGACACCCTTCTCTCTAGGGCACAGATGCTAGATGATCTCTCTCCTATATGAAAATCTTAGAATTTGGAAAAATATTTTTTCTGGACCACAAGAAGTAAAAAAAAAAAAAAACCTTTCCCAAGCTCTGGAAAACTTTCTTCATCTGTAGGGCATGACTTGGCTTGCATGTATTGAGCCCAGCCCCCAATCGAGCAATAGAAGGGGTCTGTGCATTTTTACAGACCAGGATGGGTACCAAATCCTGTCCTTCCAATGGATACCCTCCACTCCCAAGAAGGCTGCAGGGGAAGCCACACTAGCCATTGAGTGAACCATGTGATGGCTCGGTCCCTTACACTGCACCAAATTAGTTGTAGGTTGTAGTCAACAAGGTTGTGCTTGTTTCCATCCCATACCTGCTTCTGTCCCTGATTCTCCCTTGTCTTACTCAAGCTCCTTGGGCTGGAAGAACAAGAGTCAGCAGAGACAGCAGAACAGGCCATGTTCACTGGAATTTGAAGTTGTGCACATGGATATTAATTCAGTCTCAGAACATTGTTAGGACATTTGATGGACAGTGTAAGCAACAACAGCCTTACTCATTAAGATAGCAAATATATTGTTCACAAGATATGACCTCTGGTCTACACTATCATAAGGTTGTATCCTCATTTCAGACTCCAAGGCTCTTTAGCACTCTCTTTTGCCCCAGGAAACCTATGGGAGCCTTGGGATAGAGATGGAGGGAGCCTTTAATACTAAAAAAATGCTGCTGGATTGCCATTGGTGGTCTCAATCCCAGAGCATTTTTTTTAAATACTCTTTAAGGCTCCTCATGCCTCTGTCCTGAGATTCCTAAAGGCTTTTCCAGGGCAAAAGGAAGCCCTAGGGAGCCTCAGAAACTGAAAAGCTACATATGAATTTAAATTAAATATTTCCAATGCTTAATCCAGGTTACACTGACACAAAGTTACATCAACAGGGTTTTGCCCATTATTTTTCCTGCTTAAACAAAAGTCTTTTTATCCTACATAGTCCAAGAAGTAAAGCAATACATAACACCAAAGTGTTAAAATGGTGTTTGTTTTGTTTTTTGAATGGTGTGATTTGGGGACTTCTTGATGGAAATAAATGGAATGGTTGCAAAGAAATGTATTCCATTGTGGTTGACTCTGAGCAAGGGACACCTCTTCCCTTTCAGAAGCAAGCCTTATAATGGGAGAAATGCTAGAGAAAGTCTCCTCAAAATGACTTCATGACTTAAAATGTTAATGTTGGATATTTTCAAAACATTTGATTCAGTGGAATGACCGGCTGATTAAAAAAAACCTTGGTTTTGGTAAACGATTTAGAGATATGGTCCATCAATTATAGTTTAAAAATTTGTTCTGTTACACCTTGAATGATGGTGGAACAGAATAAATTTCCTGGGGGGGGTACAAGACATTATTATTTGATTTGGTCATAGTATTGTTGGTGAATGCTAGCATAGAAACTAACTTAAGGCAGGTAATTGCCCCCAAAGTTAAGTCCAAGATTAATGTATTTGCTGATGATACATTGTTAACAATAGAGGATCCATCTACAGTTATGTATTAAGTAAAAGCTAATTTGGACGAATTTGGGGAAATAATTGGCTTACAAATAAATTGGAATAAATCAGAAATGATGTTGTTTATTGTAATGAGGAGAAAGCATTGGTAAAGGAAAAATTTGATATCAAGATAATGAAAAGTATTAGATATTTAGGAATAAATCTTACTAAACATATTTATGAGATATAAAAAGCAAAAATTTTGATAAATTGTTTACTAGAAGTGAAAAACCAATTAAAGGAATATAGGAAGATTGCATTTTCTTGGTCTGGACAAATTGCGCTGTGTAAAATTTTGTTGATGATTAACATCCTATTTTAGATGCTACCAATATCAATAAGGGAGGGAGAAAGAAAGGAATGGCAGAATATTATTCTTTATGTTAAAAATTATGCTTTCAGTCTCCAAAAGAGGAAGGGTTTGGTCTCCCTAATATAAAACTTTATTATTTAGTCAACCAAATAAGATTTATTCCTGATATTATATCTCCCCTAGATACTGTGATCTGGTTTAAGTTGAGAACAGAAGAATTAAATGGCAACATAAAGAACATTATTTTTAGAAAAAATAATAGGAGTTGTATAAAAGAGTTGGAAAATCTGTTTTCGAAAAATATGTTGCAAATTTGGATTAAATAGTGATTAATGATTTCTACGTTAACTTCCCCTTTTACACCTGAAGTGGTGTTAGAGAAATTTCTAGAACACTTGAAAGAAATTCCTCAGAAATTATGAAAAAAACCTTACATCCATAGGTAGAGCTGCTTATTAGTTAGACTCCATTCTGTTTACGGCTTTGCGAAAACTGCTACAGCCATGAATACAAATGCACAGAACATATATATCTAAGAGATGACTATAATTGTATAGTAAGTTATAATGGAAACAATATATGCATATAGTAAAATCCTAGAGCCTAGTCAACTCTAACCAATGAGAATTATAAATTTGGAGGCACCACAGAGTAGTTCTGAATGAATCATATTCCCAAGCATGAACTATTTTTTAAAAATCTAGTTATTATAGTGAAAGCCACATTATTTTAATAAAATCGGTATCTAGAATAAATGCATGCAACTTCGGAGGGAATGAAGCAGTGATACACAAGCATGTACACACTCCCCTTTGATGCTAAATTCTAAATGCTAAAGTTATTAAACTAAGCTAAAATCTGCTAGAAGTTGGATGCATGTAGTTATTTAACTAAAGCAGAAAAGGGCAAAAACTTGCCTTTCTAGTTTAGATGTTTTGGCAGAACCAGAAAATAAACTATTTAGGGGCTAAGTCTGGGATCCAACAGAGTCCATAACATATTCCATCTTGGAGCCTGGACATACCCTTGAGTTTGTTAAGTCTTATTAAGTTTGCAATTAGAAGTATCCAGTGTGGTACCATTGCAGTTGTGCTTTCAGCCTTGGCTCATGCTGATGGCCTCAGGGTTTGCATGGCACTGTTTAGCCAAGGAATGCCCTTTGAGAAAGAGTGATAACTCAGGTGGAGTACACCCTTTGCAGAATACAAACCTCTCCAGAGATACATGAAAGAGATATTGCTAGTATCTCTAGGCAGAGTTAGTTAAAACTCATGTTGACTTACCTTGTGGCAGAAATGTCTTCAATCTGTACCCCTTCTTGAACATGATTGATTTTAAGTGTAAGCATTCATACACAATGTAGCTCTGCAAGAGGAGAAGTAAAATGGTCTAAAGCCGAATGTCAGAAGGTACCGGTTAGATCATTACTCAGTCATGTTGTTGAGACTTAGCAAGATTGACTAATGATCTAACCGGTACCTTCTGATGTTCGGCTTTAGACCATTTTACTTCCCCTCTTGCTGAGCTGCATTGTGTATGAATACTTACACTTAAAATAAATCTTGTTCAAGAAGGGGTATAGTCAAAAAGTAAATAATGAAACTGTTTAAATACAGAATATTTGAATGGTACATCAGATTGAAGACATTTCTGCCACAAGGTAAATCAGATGTTTCAAGAAAGGACATATAAAATGAATTCCATCCTGAATTTTTTAAAATAGTTTTAAACAGTTTTAAAAAATCTATTTTTGAAACCATATCAGATTTGAAAAATAGACCCACCATGGATTTTTATTTTTGCAAAACATCTATTTCTCTGAATTTATTTTCTCTTCTGCTGTCTTGCAGAAATATTGACGTAACATGTTAATCATCTGCAGTAATGAAGCCCTTTCTTCTTGCTAAATATCTCTTCCAGCTGAGCCGCTGTATGTTTTAATGTGCAGTGAATCAAGCCCTGCATTATTGTGTCTTCTGGCTCCCAAAATAATTTCATCATCTGGTACACAAGATAAAATACAGATGTCCCAAGCAACACTTATTGGCCCAGACATTTTGCTTTCTTGGCTTAGATTTAAAGAAAAGAAAAGAAAGCTTAAATACCAGACAAATTCAGACTCATTTCTTCAGGCTGTGTTACAGAAAGTATTCACAGTTTATTCTAATCAGGGACTGAATTATTTAATCTTCCTTCTGCTTCCAGAGAGTATGCAAAGCTGGCACCCTTTAAAAAATTTGCTATATACTGAGGTTGACTTACTCAGAGTTCTGACAGTAAGTGAAATGAAGTCTTTTTCCTCCTTCCATCTCCCTCATTGGCCTTGAACTAATGGATTCCTGTCCATGCTGGAGTAAGAGAGAAGCAAGAACTCCACCAGAGAAAGAGACTTTGCTGCGGAATACACCTTCCGTGGCCGAAACAGACTACAGAACAAAAGACTAGGTTGCAGGATTCTCACAACCCCTTCCACTCCCCATACAGCAGGCAGGTAAGAGCCAGTGTAGTACTGTACCGGCATCCCTCCTGATGCCCTGTTAATCCTATGCTGACTGCTACTACTGCAGAAAGAAGAACAAGATTGGAACAGATAAAACAGCTCGGGTCAGTCCTTGTGCCAAACTGTTCCTCAACTGGGTGAAACATGGGCTCAACCCCGATCTGCTTTCTGTCTATATTGCTGATGTTGCTGGGGAAAGCCCATCCCCCCCACATATGTATTGCAATGTGTATTTCATCCTTTCTTTAAAACCCAGTATTTAAAAACAGATGTTGAAAATTCTTACATCGCTTCCGGATAGCACTCAGGTTTGGATTTTGGTGAACCTCCAGGGGAAGGGGCTTCTGCAACTGTGGGGCAGTCGCCGAGAACGCCTCTTTAAGTGCCCTTTCCGTTTGGTGCACGGATGGTACCATCAAGAGATCGCTCTCGGCTGACCGTAAGGATCGCGATGGGACATAAGGGAAGAGGCGGTCTTTCAGGTCCGCGGAACGCAAGCCATGGGAGAGGTGTAGCTTCAGTCTTTCTATCAGTAAGATAGGATTGAGAATAATTACTCATCTTTAGAGAACAAGATGAAACAAAAGCCTCCTGAAAGGCAAAAGCGTGATGTCTCACAGCTTATTAGTTAGTATCCACTTAGTATGTAAACATCAAAACTGCATGGACATTAACTATTTATTCAACTTTCAGTAAAATTGATTTTAATAACAAAAAGGCAAACCAAGAACTCTTGAACCCAACACTTTCTATCTAGTGGAGTTTAATTTCGTTCCCTTATAAAGAAACTTAAAAACCACTATTGTGGTCTATGCCAAACTGAAACAATGATGACAAATATATTATATCATTTGACTTGGATGAAAGAGGCTGGAGGCTTCCAGTGAATGAGACTGTCATGCTTTAAGTTCTCATATATCCTGGATTAATCATAACCATATGATCATAACCTTTTATTATTTCAGAAGTAGTACCAACATTGTTCTTTAAATTCCCAAAGCAAATGACCAAATCAGAGGACCCCTTCTTTACAGAGTGTTAGCAGGGAATGTAATTCACTTTAAGTAAAAATCCCTGCCAGTGAACATATTCAAGGGAGAAAAAATGGGTACAATTATTTCTATACTAGTGAGTTTTTAATCTCTGTAAAGACAGTGATGACAGAATCAAACTGTATGGCATGTTTACTATGTTTCTAGATGACGTGTTCCTCCAGTAGTGAAAGACATCTGCTTATCATGGCCCCCAGTTTCCTTCACCTTTGCACATTGCATTTAGCAGGTTTGGCTTTTTGAATGGTAGTTGGGAAGTAAATGCAGGCTTAATTTGCAAGTCTGATTGCTGATGTATGCCTCTCTGAGGTAGTCCCATTGTGGGAGGGATGAAGGGTAAATTCTTGGGAATATCCATTCTTCTTAATGTATAGTTTGACCCACATATAAAGATATAGCACTGGCTGCAGGTTTCAGTTCACCCTTTACAAAAAAATTCCTTTGCCAAATGTGACCCCCAACCTCTGTTGGTGGTCTCACAAGGGGTTTACCCGTGAGCCAATAGCTATTTCAATTATTCAGTCAATCCAACATAATGTCATCTGGGGGTCTTGTGGGTATAATGGTGAGCTGGTTGCATTTCCAGCCACCTTGTGAGGACAGAGGTCTGGTGTTGTGGTGATTCTGCATGCAGCCAGCACTTTGCATTTCTATAAATAAATTTTGTTTTGAGATTTGGGAAAGGGATGGTTTCCTTTCTGTCATAATGATTACTGGCGAAGGAATATGAAAATAATTCTGAGGAACTGTGACAACATACCATTCCAGAATTTCCCATTTACTTGTTTTCTTTTGGGATTCATGCACTTTCCATGGAGTAGCTGTAAAATTCCTCTGCAGCTAGTACAATCATTGTACTTGAACCCTGTACATGTTTTGCAGGTCCTGTGGCACGGTTCACATTCTTCTGTGACCTCATCACTGTAGAAGCCAGCTCCACAATCATTCACACATTTCCCGTCTAGAGCATAAACACAAAGCTTTTTATCTCGTAATGACATAAAGGCTGGTTAAATACCATTTGGAAAACTGACAGACAGTGCCCTTTATATGCTTATCAATGGCCCTTTGCCCTAGAATGTAGGAATGGAGCATGCATTTACTTATTTAGAGGTTGATGCAATACCCTACGAAACAAACTGTGATGTAACCTCTGTCCTTGAACAGTTTAATTCTGAGTAAGCTTCTCTTAGAGGACGTGCACATAAACATATACATGGTAGTTATGTGACAGCTAACAAACGTTGCTAGACACTCTGGTTCTCTTTTGCAGCTTGGAATGTATGAATAAAGAGTTTAAAAGCTATGAGTGAAGCATGCTTCCTTATAATAAACAAGGGGGAAAAACTAATGTGTTCAACCTTTGACCACAGAGATCCAATCTGGAAAAGATAAGGTGAAGATAACTCATAATAGGGGGCAGGGCATGTACCTGTCGGTCTTGTAAAGGATTTAATGTGCACACCACCCATAGAACTTTGGTTGATGAACAACTTAAACATGCATTAAATAAATAGATTAATACAGTCCTTGCCACTTTGCTTACCTAGAAGGAAAAAACCTGCTTTGCACCAGTAACACTCGTATTTGTCACAGCTTCTACAATCTGGCTGACACGCTATGCAGAGGAGAGAATTTTCATCGTTGTAGGTATTCTGAGGACAACTTCTATAACACTGCTGATTGTACCTAGAGACAAAATCAATGAAAATGCAAATTTGATTCTGGAACTCTTCAGTCTTGAGTAGGAAAGGCACGACTGAGTTGGTTATTGAAAAACATCTGAAAAGAACGTAATTGAAAGAGACATGCACAATCTTCCCATAAATGTCTAACTCAGACAGTAAACCTCTGTAGTGAAATAAAGGTTTGCAAATGAACTGTATATATTCTTGATCTGCATTCCAAAAAGATTTCTCTTTATACCCCTATCTGAATGACATATTTATTTGTTTTTGTTTATGTATTTATGTGATACGTGCGTTTTCTTCCAGAAAGAAAATAAAAGAAAAAAAATGATGATCAGAACATCAGATGAGATTCAATCTATTTACTAACTCTATCTTTTTGGTCACACTGGCCTTCCAAAGGAAGCACTGTTTTATTTCAGAAGATTCAATGAGAGACAGGGAGGGAGGGAGGGAAAGAGAATCGTGAACTTACATGTAATAATTATGAAGGCATGATGTACAGATTCGTGGGTCATCTGAAATTAAAAATAAATAACATATTGAAAACAAAACACAATGCCAGTCCAAATGTATTTAATACTGATTTAACCCCTTGAGAAAATCAGAAGTGTTTAAGTGAGGGAGAGGAGCTAAAAGAGTAGCAGTAATAAAAACAATGATAATGATGACAATCACAATTGGAATTCAGAAGAGCTTGATGAAAAACATATTCCACAATATGGAGCATGGAAGGACATCCTGTCGCTCTCTGCTGTTTCCTGCATGGAGGCTGAAAGGCAGTGGACTGAGCAGACTGGAGAAAATCTGCAGTTCACTGGCAGAAGAATTCTTCATTCAAAGTGGATTTTAGTCTTTTCCTCTGCCCTCAAACTAATCCTCTTAACATTGGCATTTTTTAAAATCTATGAATACTCAGTAATGACAATTAGAGATGGTGGTCTTTTTGCATCATGTTTCAGAGCTAAAGCATAAAAGGCATTTTGTGCCCATAGTTTTAAAAATTCAAAATTACTGACCTAATTTAAGAAGTCCTGTGACACCTTTAAGATTAACTGATTTATTTCACTTTGAGCTTTCATGGATTACAACCCACTTTCAGATACACAAGTAAAACAATAGACCACAGGCTTCTATATCCAGTGGACATAGTTATGGGAGAGTCAAATAGGATGCAGACAATTACAGCTGTATTATTAACACTGAAAATGAGATTCTCGGGTGTTAATTACTGTATATAGCTACTTAGGCAGCAGCTCCAATAATTAACTAATGCTATATAGTTATTTATCTTGTTATAGCACAACGGAAATGTAGTAAGTGAGAATTTCAGCTGTAATCTAGGTTGAAACTATTTTAAGCAAGGAAAAAAAACTGGTCAAAAATCCAAGCGTCAACAGCCTGGGTCCTCCATCCTCCAAAACAATACCGTGGCATCTGCCCAGATCATGAATATTCATATGCTATCGGCATAGACCAATGGGAGTGCTGGAGGGGCGGAGTCACGAGATATAAGGGACTCAGCAGGAGGAGGGGGAGTTTGAGATTGGGAGTGTTTTGGGAGTTTGGGTGGGAGAGGGGTAGTTGAGAGTGGATAAACTAGGATGTTTGTTTAAGAGTTAACAACATTGCTTGTCCTGTCAGCATCTGTAACAATGAACAATTTCTATTTGGTTCTTTTAAAATGACATCTGGCCTGGACCTTGATTATTAATAATAGGTAATGTTGATGTTTCAACTGGTGGCAGCTGAGGGGAACATAGCATGAGCTCCTTTGTTTGGTGAAACAAACAGGGACCACATGGGAATCATGACAGATATGTCTAGCTCCACAGCTCAGGCAATTGGCAGTTTGAGGGGGATGCTGTTCCTTGGCTTTGGAGATTGTTTGTTTTCATGCTTCTAGTGACAGTGGAGATACAGCCACTCCACTGCCACTAGAAGCAGCTGGTGATTCAATAGTGATCTCTGGGAACGGGACTGGTGAAAGTTCTTCCTCACTTCCAGTAATCTCAGTTCTGAGAGTGCAGTTTTCCTACCACTGGTAATGATAGCAGCACATCCAATGCTATTGATGCTGAGGGAAGGGAGATGCTGCAACCCTTCCAACTCAGTAAGCAGAGAACAGAGAGTTAAACGGGAAATTTTAGTTTCGTGTGGTGCGTCCCTTAAAGATTTTAAGACTGGAAAAATGTCTCCCAAATCTTCAGAGCTTGCCCAACCCTCATTAAACTAATCTGGCATCTGAGATCAGAAGTGGAATCCATAAGCATTGGCTAGAATTTGCTGTGACAGAACATCTCCTGTTCCCTAAACGTTATACCAAAGGCATTCAATATTTCACCATGTTAAGATCAGGCAGCTGGAGATTATACATTAAAATGATTAAACACCAATGAACTCACAGGATTCTGAAAGACATGACTTTTGCTGATCTAATCAGGATTCTCTGGCTCTCGGCAGACCACCCATAATTCCAATATATTGTATTCAGTCAGGAATAACTTTTGTTCTATCATCTTCCCATGTATGTTGATGGTCCTTTTGAGAAAAATCCTGCTATCTTGCTGAATGCTTAAAAAAAGAACTGTGACTACTTTAAAGTCTGCAAACTTAAATAGTTAGTTCAGATGCAAGAGAGGCATCACCATGCTGCATTTCATTTTAGGCAAAAGCAGCTGGAGAGTCATCTGCAAACCAAGTGCTACAGGACTGCAGGAGACGCCTTGGGCATGTAGGTACCCATGATTTCATTTTACTGATGTTTTCCTAGTCCAGTTAGGACTTCTCTTCCTAACTATAAAGCAAAAGATGCTAAGTTTGAAATAGGCTTCACTGAATGTAGTAAGGCTGGCCTCTTAATGTGTTTGTGCAGAGTCTGAAAATACTGGTTGTGACAGTCTGGGAGCTAGAGTCTAAAAAAAGTAACTTTTTCAAATTTTGATGTGTGCACAGGGTGGTCATCTGATTTCTCTTAGAATATTTTTTCACATGACTATTCCAAAGAGCGAAACAAGCGAGAATATGTCTCTCTTTGTCTGTGCATGCCTAGAGATAGATGACATCAGATGTGAGATTAAATATATATGATTGGATTTTTCTCGTGCCAACAATGGTCCCTTCTGCTGCCTTTTTAAGGGGTGTGTGTGTGTGTGTGTGTGTGTGTGTGTGTGTGTGTGTGTGTGTGTGTGTGTGTGTGTGTGTTGAGTTTTGAAACTAAAAAGCAAAAATAAAACTAGCTTAGGAATTTCAGTTTCCATTCATTGTTGCATAATGTTCTGCTCTGGATTGGAGCAACAACCACTTGTTTAAATGTTAAAAAAAATACCAGCTTGCAATGATTTAATTGAATATGCAGTTCCGCCCTGAGCTGGGGAAGAGGCTGGCCATCGACCTTAAGACAGGCCTCACTCACTGTTTGACTGTGGAAGCTTGCAAAACAAATAGATCATACAGACAGCTAAGGTGTTCATTTAAGTTCCCACAGAAGTAACCAAGAACTGAAGATCAACTATTTCACACTAGAGTTTCCCTTTTCTTTTTAGTTAATAAAATGAATAGCTTTGCAGAACAAGGACAACTGCATTTTATACTACTGTGTCATTTAATTCTAAGGACCAAGAATGATTATCATCATCGCTAGATTGTGTTTTCAGCTTTGGACAAAGCACATCATTAAAAAGCACTGGAAAACAAAATGTATCATGCATTTGCATAATCAAATTGAACTACACTGGAATCAGTTTTCTTTTCTTTTTTTAAGGCATCATTTAACTGGAAAAAAAACTTTCCTCTGTAACTATGTACTGATATTAAAACATCTAGGATCAGTTAATAGCCAACTTTCAAGTAGCATTTTTTCCCCACACTAATCCTCCTGTGACTGCTTATTCATGGGGACGCCATAGGCTGGAGGCAATTTGACAGCACATAACAGCAACAACATTTCTGTAGTTTTCACAGCTGCTTACCAGTCAGAAACTCAATAGGTTTAGCATTTGAGTTAGCCATGATAGATAAGATAAACATAAAGTTCATGTCGGAGTGTAAATGGGGGGAAAAGCCCTCATCCCATCACAACTACTATAAAGAAACTGATAAATTTTGGTTCATTTTTTAAAAGAAAGAAGTTTTCCTATATGGCCATACTATGCCAAAACACTCTCCCATAGTATTCTAAAGATGCTGCTGTTGGGGAAAAAAATTAGAAATCTGACTCTGGAGCTTCCAGATCACATGATATTTTCAAATGTAGTCAAATATGCAGTGTTCAAAGTTTTGATGTTAAGAGAAATGCAGGAGACTGAAGAGAAGCATCTACATCTGTTGTGTTTAGAAATGGATTTAAAAGATTAGTGTTTCATATAAAGTAAAGTAGTAGTAGTAGTATTCCACTGGAGGGCAGAATGCTCACATAGGTATAGGGCAAAAACACTTTAGTTTCATGTTGTTCCTGTTTCTCAAAAAAAAAAAAAAAAAAGCTGAATGACAATAAACGTGTCTATTTTCTTTGAAGTAAACTTGATGATATGAGCATTTCTCCATCTTTCTGGGAATTATTCCAAATGAGATTTACATGCATGAGTCTGTCTCATGATGTTGGTGCAGTAAAAGAATGTAAGTGAAAAATTGAATCTATGTTCTAGCCAAAATTGGCTTTACATTCTCCTGGCATACCAGGTAAGACACAAGTGACGATGCCCTTGATTTTACCACCTAAGTCAGTGGACAAGCCAAAGCTGTCAGTCTTGCATGGTATTGCAGCAATTAATCATTAATGATGATCTTGAGACCCTTGGTTTTGCATTTGTGTGTTTTCCTTTTTTTAAATACGAATTCAGATATTTTCTCCAGTGAAATAGGCTTCTGGGGGAAGCTGCATCTGCCATAGTCCCATAGTTCTGCAATGTTATCAACTAATAAATATGACAATGGTGTCCTTTAGATGCATCACTAGCTTCTTTAAATCTTCCTAAGAAGCTTTTATAGAAGCTTTCTTCATACACTTTCTTACTTATCATTGTGTACTTAATGGAATCCTCAAAACCTTCTCCAAGTTATTACATCTCACTTGCAAATGCTTAGGCACTAAATACAATTTAAATTTAAAATACGGTTTTAAAGAAAGTCTTTCATGCATGTATTACCCTTTTTTGGAAGGAAATGGAGAGACTGGGAGATTTAGCAACTGGGTATTCTGTATGTCGAGAAAGTGATAAATCAAACAGGGAAAGAAGGTTGGCCACATTATTTCATCCCTAACGATAGGAGTTTTCATGATGAAATTTTGTCATACCCCACTATGACTTTAGTTGCTGGATAATAATAATAATCTCAGAGCTGCAGCGCTGGAAGGGACCCACGGGTCATCAAGTCCAGCCCTTGTCCAGGAAGCACCGTGGGCGTTCAAAATCTCAGCCTCTGGCTCTGCAATCAGGTACCTAAACCACCGAGCTATCCAGGCAATCAAGACAGAGAGATCTTAACCCTGTTTCAGACAAGATACCCAGGAAATGTT